TTCGTTGTTGCTGTTGCTGCTGCTGTTGCTGCTGCTGTTGCTGCTGCTGTTGTTGCTGCTATTGCTAGTGCTGCAGCGGCTAGTTTTTCTGCTGCTGTTGCTTGTGCTGTTGTTTGCGCTGTTGTTGCCGTTGCTGCTGCTTTTGCCGTTGCTGCTTGACGCTCTCTTGCTGCTGCTGCAATAACTGCTGCTGCTGCTGCTCCTGTTGCTGCTGTTGCTGCTGCAGGTGTTGTTTGCGGGGTGTACCGACCTCCGCGCCTTCTTAGGGTTAATCTTCCGTTCGGCGCTGCGGCTGCTGCTAGCAGAGACGCAGCAGCAGCAGCAGCAGCAGCAGCAGCAGCAGCAGCAGCAAGGAGGAATGGAGCTGAGTCCTCTGGGCAAGCAAATGCGGAGGCTCTTATTGATACTATGCTCCTTGCAGCAGCAGCAGCAGCAGCAGCACAAGCAGCAGCAACAGAAGCAGCTGCAGCAGCTTGCTGGTGCTGCCCCGCATGCAGTGTGTATAGCCTTAGCTATTATCGACGCCTTTTATGCTGCTGCTACTGGTAGCAGCAAAGACAGCAACAGTAGCAGCAACGGCAGCAGCAACAGCAGCAGCAGCACCGGCTGCAGCAGCAACGACGAGGCGACACCAAACATCACAAAGGAAAGCAGCAGCAGCAGCAGCAGCAGCGAGCTGCCTTGCTCCATCCCCGCTAACTTTAGGTTGCTCCTGCAGCAGCTGCTGCAGCAGCTGGATGCTGCTAATCCGCTTGCTCTTCCTGCTGCACTGACTATTGCAGCACAGCAGCAGCAGCAACAGCAGCAGCAGAAGCTGCAGCTATTCCTTACCACTACGTTTAAGGGATTGGCTTCTGTTGCGCTGCAGTTGCCGCTGCAGCCTGCTGCTGCTTCTCCCTACAGCAGCAGCAGCCGCAGCAGCAGCTCACTGCTCTTCGCTCTAGGCTCCGAGGATGCGACACTTCGGCTGCAAGCAGTCCGCGCAGCAGCTGCTGCACTGCAGCAGCAGCAGCAACAGCAGCAGGAGGAGGAGAAGGAGGAGGAGGAGGAGGAGGACTGCAGCAGCGAATTGCTGCATGCAGAAGCAGCAAAAGCAGCAAACAGCAGATTGCGACTCTTGGGGTTTTTGCTGCTGCAGCGGATAACAGATCAGGATCTACAAGTTGCTGTTGAGGTGTGCTGCTGCTGCTGCTGTTGATGCTGCTGCTGCATTTACTGCCGCTGCTGTTGCTGTCGTTGGTGCTGCTGCTGCTGTTGCTGCTGTTGCTGCTGCTGACGCCACTTCAGCTCGTGAGCCTGCTGCTCTCCTACCTACCTATTAAGCTGCTGCTGCTGTTTCTGCTGCTGTTGCTGCGTGCAGGCATTGGAGGCGCTGCCGCTGCTGCCGGTTGCTGTTCCGTTTGAGGAGCGACTTGCTGCTGTGGCTGGGAAGTTGCTGCTGCTGCAGCAGCAGCTGCTGCAGCAGCCGTTTGTATCAGCAGCAGCACGGCCGCGCTCAGTTGCAGAGCAAATGGCGCTGCTGCTGCTGAAGACACAGCAGCAGCAGCAGCTTTGTGTGCTGCTGTTGCGGCGGTGCGCTGCGCTGCTGAAAGAGGGACGCGAGGCAACAGCAGCAGCAGCAGCGGCTGCAGCAAATGGTGAAGATGCAGAGTTGGACGACGCCGTAGAAGAGCAGCAGCAGCAGCAACGGATGCTGCAGCAGCACGCCAGTCAAGTAGTTCCTCTCGCTGTCTGTCTGTATGCCGCTGCGGCCTCGCTGCAGCACCCTGCAGCAGATGCTGCAGCTGCTGCTGCCCCAACAGCAGCAGCTGCTTCAGCAATAAGTAGTGCAGCTGCTGCAGCGGAGGAGCTGCTGCGGGAAGCAGCAGCAGTGCTGCTGCCCGAGGAGAAAGACAAAATAACAACAGAAGCAGCAGCAGACGAAGCAGCAGCAGACGAAGCAGCAGGAACAGCAGCAGCAGCAGCAAATGAAAACGGCCCCAAGTGCGTATTGCTTGTGCTGTTGGTGCAGTTTGCTGTATAGCTGTTGCTGTTGCTGTTGTTGTTGCTGCTACTGTTGCTCCTTCCTTGTTGCATCTGTTGCTGTTGTTCAGGTTTGCTGCTGCTGCGTGTGTTGTGCTGCTGCTGCTGCTGCAGTCGTCTCTTTATTCGGCTTGCATGGGCAGCACTGTGGGGCCCTGCAGCTGCAGGGCAACAGCTTCCTGAAGTAACAGCAGCAACAGCAGCAGCAGCAGCGGAAGCAGCAAGCAGCAGGCACTGGCTAGTCTCTGCTGCCTTGCTAGAGTTCCTTGTTAGCACTGCCCGTCCCCATGCTGCTGCTGCAGCAGCAGGGGCAGCTGTTGTAGCTGCTGCAGCAGGGAAGGCAGCAGCAGCCGTTGCTGCAGATGCGACTGCAGCAGCAGCTGCTGTCAATATTTCTTTGCTGCCCTCGTCGATGCCGCCGCAGCTGCTGGTGTTACATGCAGGGAGAACCTACGAGGCAATCCTACTTGCAGAGCAAAAGCAGCAGCAGCAGCAACCACAGCAGCAGCAGCAGCAGCAGCAGGTGAGTGCGTTAGCCCTGGGCGCCGTGTCTTCATTCTGCAGCCTCCTTGCCTCAGCATTGCTGCCTAGCGATGCAGCGGAACTAACAGCGCAGCTACTCTCGCAGCAGCAGCAACAACAACAACACCAGCAGCATCACCAGCAGCAGCAGGTGGCAGCATTACGTGGGCTACTGCTGCTTGGTCTAGCAGATGCAGAAGTCTTCTCTCAGGCTTTGTCTTTAATCGTCTCTCGCTTAGGGCGGCAGCCGCTGCTGCTGCTGTCGCTTCTGTCTGCTGCTGCAGAACAAGCGCATGCATGTCTCTGCAGTAGCAAGAAACAGAAGCAGCAGCAGCAACAACAACAACAACAGCAGCAGCAGATGCAGCAGATGCAGCTGCAGATGCAGGAACTTGACGGCGAAGAAGCCAGGGAAGAAACAGCGTCGGATGGTCTTCAAGAACCCAACCAACAGCAACAGCAGCAGCAGCTGCTGCAGCAGCAGCAGCAGCAGCAGCAGCAAGTGGATGCCACCGTGCCGGTGCAGGAGCCTGCTTTGCTTGTTGATTGCTGCGTTGCTGCTGTTGAGCTGCAGCTGGAGGTCCTTACTGCATCTCCAGCAGGAGCAGAAGCAGATGCAGCAGCAGCAGCAGCAAAGACGCCGGCAGCAGCAGCAGCAGCAGCAGCAGGGCCCTTCCTTGCAGCACAGAGCGTGGTGCTGCTGGGGTCTCCTGTCGAGGCAATCCGTGCTGCTGCTGTTGGGCTGCTGCGACAGCTGAGATACCTTGTTGCCGCTACAGACAACAGCAGCAACAAAGGCAGCAGCAGCAAGGGTGCAGCAGCAGCAGCAGCAGCACAAGAGGCCCTTCAGCTGCTGCTCTCTCTTGGCCTGGTAACTCCTAAGTGGCTCGACTGCGGCAGCAGCGCCGAGGTGCAACAGGTAAGCTACAACAACAGCAGCAGCAGCAACGTCAGTAACAGCAGCAGGGGTTTTAAGCACCTTGAGGTGCTGTTGCTGCAGACACTCGAATGAATTGCTGCTGCTGCTGCTGCTTGTATGTGTTGTGGTGTATCTGCAGCTGCTTAACAATGCGAGGCAGCATTTTGCTGCCTTTGCTACTGAGGTGCTGCGGTCCCCGCTGCTGCCAGTTAAGCCTTTGCAGCAGCTGCTGCAGCAACAGCAGCAGCCTTCTCGTGGGGCAGCAGCCTACTTCGTGCTGCTGTTGCTGCTGCTGCCTAAGCAGCAGCAGCAAGTCGTTCTTCCCCTACACCGCCTTTGGGAACCGGAGACATTGCTACAGCAGCTGCTGCCGCTGGCGACCGATTTGCTGCTGCTGATCCTCTCCAGCAACAGCAGCAAGTTCGTGGAGACTGCAGCAGCAACAGGAACTTCAGCAGCAGGCGATACGGAGTACGTGCTGCTGCAGCTGACTTGGCAGCTGTTGCATCAGCTTGCTGCAGGTGATTCAGCAGCAGCGCAGCAGCAGCTTGCTGCAGGGCCATGCAGCAAGTTGATAGAGTCTCTCTCTGCCGCTGTTGTTGCTGCTGTGCAGCAGCAAACAGCAGCAGCAACAGGAGATGAGAACATTCCACAGCCGCACCTGCCACTACCTGTGCTGGATGCCGTAGGTGAGTTGCTGCTGCTGGTGCAGCACCAGCAGATGCAGTTCATGCCGCAGCAGCGGCTGCAGCTGCTCCTACAACTGTCATCTGCAGCAGCAGATTGCCCCGGCCTTGCTGTAGTGCTGGGCAGCAAAGCTGTTGGCGCTGCACCAGCAGACGCAGCTCCTCTGCCGCCGCAGCAGCTGCAGCAGCTTGCTGAGCAAATAGGCGTGGCAGCAGATGGCACTGCAGCAGCAGCAGCAACCACTGCGCGCAGCAGCAGCAACAGGAGCGCGGCCGATGTCATTTTGGCTGACCTACTTGGCGAGCTGCTGCAGCAGCAACAGCTGCGTCCCACAATACTGCAGCAGCAGCCTTACACGCTGCTGCTGCAGCTCGTGAAGCAGATCTTTGCTGCGCTGCAGCGTATTCAAGCAGCCACAGCAGCAGCAGCAGCACCAGCAGCAGATAAGGATGCTGCAGACAATCGCCGCCGCGTCGTTGCGCAGCTCTTCTTCTGCTGCAGCAGCCAACTGGCAGCACTCCGAACTCGTATGTTGCTGCAGCACAGCAGCAGCAGCATCATCATCTCCTCCGAGGACGAGCAGGAGATGCAGGAGGTTTTCCTGCTGCTGCAGGGCTGCTGCAGAGCCCTTGCTGAGCACCCGCAGCAGCTGCTTGATGCAGCAACATTTGGTGCTGCACTCCGCTGCTGCAGTGCAGCAGCAGACTTAGTAAAGGCGCACCAGCAGAAGCAGCAGCAGCTCGTGAAGCTGCGTCGCCTGCTGCTGGATGTCCTCAATTGCTGCTGCAGCAGCAATCCAGTCTTGCTGCTACAGCGGCCGGCCTTGGCCGCCATTTGTGCTGTGGTGCACACCGTAGCGGGCATCGAGCAACAACAGCAGCAGCAAGTTGCTGCAGATGCGGAGCAGCATGAGGACGGCAGCAACGGTAGCCCAGGAGAGTTTGCTGCTGAAGCAGCAGTTTGCTGCTTAGCCCCTGTTGCTGCTGTTGCCTTCTCCTCTCCGCTGGATCAGACGCTGGAGCAGAGGCAGCAGGCAGCAACAGCACGGCAACAGCTGCTGCCGACTGCATGCGCCATTGCACAAGCAGCAGGGGCTGCAGCACTCGACGGTTGTGTTGCTGCGCTGCTGCTGCAATGGGAGTGTGCTGCTGCAGCACGAAAGAAGGAGGCGCGTCAGCGGCAGCAGCAGCAACAGCAGGAGGAGGATGACGAGGAGGCAGCACCAGACCAGGAAGAAGATGATAACAACAGCAGCAGCAGCAAGAGCAGAACGGAGTGGGAAACACGCCAGGATGCATTTAGGAGCGTGCTGCAGCTGCTGCTGCAGCAGCAGCAGCAGCAGAAGCAGCAGGAAGCTGCTATGTTGGAGCAGAGAGTTGCTAAGCTATACGGCTTTGCATTGTTGCTGCAGTGCCAGTGCAGCGCTCTTGCTGCCGCCGCTGCTGCTTCATCGCCTGTGGAGGCAGCTGCAGCAGCAACAGCAGCAGCAGAGAACTTTAAAGGTGCAAGGGAGGTTGCTGCTGCTAATGGCTTCCTGCAGCGCAGCAAGCAGATGCTGCGGTGTACGTACACCCCTTGCCATACCTTATGGGTATCTCAGCTGCGGTCTGCTGCAGCAAAAACAGAAGCAGCAACAACAAGAGCAGCAGCAGCAGCTGCTGCTGTAACGGCAGCACGGGCAGCAATAAGCTGTGTTGCAGTTGGCGTTGAGGCGTGGAGACACAGCAACAGCGGCAACAGCAGCAGCAAAGATGGATTCGCTGCCTCTGTAGAGTCCCGTGCTGCAGCAGCAGCAGCCGTCCATGCACTGCTGGCCTTGAGGGTAAGACAGCTCAGCTTCTGTTGCTGCTTTTGTTGTTGCTGTTGTTGCTGCTGCTTCTACTGCTGCCTGTGCTGCTGTTGCTGCTGCTGCTGAAAGTGGTTCTTCTGCTGCTGCTGTCGATGCTGCTTCTGCTGCTGCTGCAGCATAGATACATATAAAATATATATAATTGGGTGTATGTACACTGCAGGGTTTATGTAAGGCTGCTTTGTTGCAAAAGGAGAAGGGCGCTGTGCTGCTGCTGCGGCGGCAGCAGCTGCTAGGGGGATGCGCGCAAGCAGCACTAGAACAGAAACTCAGGTAAGCAGCAGCAGCAGCAACTGCAGCAGCTGCAGCAGCACAGCAGCAGCAGCAGCTACTGGTGTCACACATTTGCAAAAGGGAAGGTAGCGCATGCCTATAAATGTAGCTGAGTCTAACGTTTCGCTGCCTGTTGCTGCTGCTGCTGCTGCTGTTGCTGTTGCTGCTGCTGCAGAGGGTGCTCTGCGGAGTTTGGAGGTTTGTTGTTGGCAACGGATGTTTGGTCACCACTTGCTGACAGTGCGGATCTAATGGAAGTAGATGGACCTGCAGCAGCAGCAGCAGCAGCAAAGGCAGCAGCAGCAACAGCACCAGGAGACGACCTGCTGCTGTCTCTGGAAGGGTTGGAATCAGCTGGCGCACAGCGACTGCTGTTGCTGCTGCAGCACAAAGTTGTCGCTGCAGCAAAGGCAGCCATTGCAGCAGAAGCAGCAGCAGCAGACAAGAAGCAGCAGCAGCAAAGATCAAAGAGACACCGTGCTGTTACTGCTGCGGTTGCTGCTGTTGGAGGACGAGGCTGGAGAGTAAGTTGCTGCGGTGCTTCTGGCGTTTTTGCTGCAATTCATGTTGCTGCTGCTGCTGTTGCTGCTCGTGCTGCTGTTGCTGCTGCTCCCTGCACCTTCGCAGTTGCATAGCTGCTGCTGTTGCTGCTGCTGCTGCTGTTTGTTCTTCAGGATTTGCTGCAGAGTTCTGTTATTTCCCGCGAAGACATCGCACGTGTATACGATGGTTTCCTCCGTCTGTTAAAAGCATGCAGCAGCAGCAGCAGCAGCACGACAGTAGCAGCAGTAGCAGCAGCACTGCATCGGCAGGCATGGCGGCTGCTGCCGCCACTGGCGTTGCTGTCTGCAGCACAGCTGCCTGCGCCATTCATAACACATGCAGTGCCTGCTGCGCTGCAGGCCCTTTCTGCTGCTGGCACGTTGCAGCAACAGCAGGTGCAGCAGCAGCAGCAACAGGTTGAATTGCTGCTGGAGGGAATGGTAGATGGCTGCAAGCTATTGGTAGCTCTGGGTCTTAGAGTAGACCGTGCTCTGTCTTGCTGCATTAATCAGCTGTTTGCTGCAGTGCTTGCTGCAATACAAGCAGTAACAGCAGCAGCAGCGGCAGCAGCAGCAGGAGGTGCTGCTGCAGATATGCTGCTGCGCATGCAGCAATCGCTGCTTGCCGGATTGTGTGCTCTGGTATGTCTCTGCGGCCGTCACAGCATGCTACTCTTTGGGCAACAGCAGCAGCAGCAGCAGCAGCATCAGAGGCTGCAGGGGACCCTGCAGCAGCAGCTGCTGCAGCACGTGCTGCTGCAGCGCCAGCTGTGTCTCCTTGCTGAGCAGCAGCGGCCAGCTCGTTATGCTACTCTTTGGGCAACAGCAGCAGCAGCAGCAGCAGCATCAGAGGCTGCAGGGGACCCTGCAGCAGCAGCTGCTGCAGCACGTGCTGCTGCAGCCGCAGCTGTGTCTCCTTGCTGAGCAGCAGCGGCCAGCTGCAATGCGCGGCCTTTGCCTTGGCGATGCATCGGAGTTATTAGGTGATGCTGCAACACAAGATAGACAAGAATTGTTGCTGCAGATGCTAGGCATGCAGCAGCAGCAAGAGCAGCACCAGCAGGAGCAGCAGCAACAGGAGAAACAGCAGCTTCTACAGAAGCCAGCAGACCCTATGCATGCTCTTGCTGCTGCTCTACTCTCCGCAGCAAAGCCAGCAACTGTGCTGCAGGCTGTCTTATCGCAGCTGCGCAACACAGGTGCTCTCCTCGCATCAGCCTTCAGCAGCAGCAACAGCAGCAGCAGCCACAACAACGACAGCAACAGCAGCAACAGCAGCGTTGCTGTTACTTCCTTCGAGCTGTCTAGACAACTAGAGCTGCTAGCCATGGCTGTTAGCTGCCTACCGCTAGCTGAGGCACAAAAACGGCAGGCTGTGCTGCAGCAGCTAGCACTGCTGTCGGGGCAGCTTGTTACTGCTGCTGCAACACATTTCCAGCAGCACCAGCAGCAGCAGCAGCAGCAGTTGCAGCTGCGTGAGGCGGCAGTAACTCTTTATGGAGGCCACATAGAACAGACCCACGCGGTGGCTGTATGGGGAAAGACAACAGGAGCAATGCTGCAGCAGGAGCTGCAGCAGCAGCAGCAGCATGAAGGAGCAGCAGCAGGAGCAGCAGCAGCACTGCAGCCACTGCAGCGGTCATTTGTATGGCGTGTTGAGGCAGCTGCTGCTTCTCTTGTTTGCTGCTGGGCTCTTAAGCATGATGTGCAGCAGCTAAGGGAATGCATGCACCAGATGCTGCAGTTGCTGCGGTGCTCTCGGCCGCTCTTGTTGCAGCCGCAGGAACAGCAACCGCAACAGCTGCAGCAGAAGTCGAAGCAGCAGAAGCAGCAGCAGCAGCAACAACAACACCAACAAGCAGCATCTGTGTCGCTGCAGGAAGCAGCAGCAGCAAGACTATATGGTTTAGTTATAGTAGAGCTGCTGCATGCATTTGGTGAAGCAGGAGCAGCAGCAGGTTTGCTGCAGGATGCAGCAGCAGATCTTGCTTCTACAGTTGAAGCAGCAGCAGCAGCAGCCCAGCACAAGCAGGAGCAGCAGGTAAGATACTTCCGCTGCTGCTGCTGCTCTTCCTTCTGCGTTTGCTGATTGTGACGCTGCTGCCTCTGCTTTTGCTGCTGCTGGAATTGCAACTCTTGATGCTACTGCCGTTGCTGCTGCTGTTCGTGCTGCTGCTGCCACTGCTGCTGTTGCTGTTGCTGTAAATGAGGATTGAGCTCCTCTGTGTCTACGGTTGCCTATAGATTCAAACTGCTGCAGCAGACAGCAGCAGCAGCAGCAGCAGCAAGGAGGCCTGGTGGATCTTCGACATTTGTTCTCCTGCATTGGCTGCCTTAGGAGAAGGCCTTCGCTGCTGGAATAAAAAGGCAAACGGTTAGTTGCTGTTGCTGTTGCTGCTGCTGTTGTTGCTGTTGCTGCAGCAGCAGCCGCTGCTGCCTCTGTCTCTATTGCTGCTGTTGTTTGCTGCTGATGCCCTTTTAATTACTCTCTTGGATTAGGGAATGCAGCAGCATTTTGTAAATTGTTGCTTCTTGTGCCGCTGCGGTTGCTGTTGCTGCTGCTGCTGCTGCAGGTCCGCTGTCGGAGGTTGTGGTGGAGGCAGCAGCAGCAGCAGTTGCTAATGGCCTTCAAGCCTTTAGTGCTCTTACTCCCCTTCCTCTTTCTGCAGCAGATGTATCGTCTACAGCAGCAACTGACGAGGCCATTGGTTCTGCAGCAGCAGCAGCAGCTGACAGCAGCAGCAGCAGCAGCAAGACACGAGGGGTCCTTATGTCGCTCCTATGGTTTCAGCTGCTGCAGCGCTTAGCTGTCCCTCTCTTTGATTTGTTATTCGAAAACACACAACAGGTATGCTGCTGCTGCTGTTGGGTTGCTGCTGCTGCTGCTGTTGTTGTTGTCTGCTGCTGTTACTGCTGTTGCTGCTGCTGCTATTGCTGGTGCTGCTGTTGGTGTTGCTGCTGTTGCTGCTACTGTTGGTGTTGCTTCTGTTGTTACGGCTGCTGCTGCCAGTGTGGCTTTTGCTGTTGCTACTGGTTGTTGGTTGTTGTGTGTACGGTTGTTGCTGCTGCTGCTGCTGTTGCTACTGTTGCTGTTATTGCTGCAGTTGTCTACAGTGTGCTATAAGATACTGGAGGTGGTGCAGAATCCTAGTTGGACAAGCGGCCGCAGCCGCAGCAGCAGCAACCGCAGCAACCGCAGCAGCCGCAGCAGCAGCAGCAGCAGCAATAACGTGATTCGTGGGTTTGTGCTGCTGCTGTGGCGGCTATGGGCAGCACATGGAGCAGCATTTGCTGCATCAGCAATGCCTCTGTTCTTAGCAGCAGCAGCAGAACTAGTAGAGACAGCAGCAGAAAGAGACAGTTTGCTGCTGCAGCAGCTGCTGCGGGAGATAGAAGAGAAGACAGGGATGTCTCTCTATGACAAATAAATAAATAAATAAATAAATAAATAAACAAAATAATTATTTATTTATTTATTTATTTATTTAATTTATTTATTTATTTGTTTATTTTATTTATTTATTTATTTATTTAAATAGACAAAGAAAACACCGCATTAATATTTTTACATCTTTCTTCCTACTATACTGTAAACCCTAAACCCTAAACCCTAAACCCTAAACCCTAAACCCTAGACCCTTTATGATTTAATAAATTAAATTATAAGATCACCATAAACCCTAAACCCTAAAAAAAATATACGTAAAAATACCTTCCCCCTTATTCCCTTAGTCACCCTTAACCCCCAGGGTTTAGGGTTTAGGGTTTAGGGTTTAGGGTTTGCGGTTCCTGTGGCCGTCAACGGCCTTATGGGAAAATCCCCTGCTGCTATGTTTAAACTGCAGCAGCAGCAGCAGCAGCAGCAGCAGCAACTGCTGCTGCTGCAGCTTATAAGGGGCTCCTGCTGCTGCTGAATCTGCTGCTGCAGCAACAGCACCTACAAGACAGCTGCAGCAGCTGCTCTTGCAGCTGCAACTGCTGCTCTTGCAGCAGCTGCCTCGTAGTGTCTAAGCATCTGCTCCCGCTGCTGCTGCTGCCGCTGCTTCGGTTGCTGCTGCTGCTGCTGCTGCTGCTGCAGTGAGGGGAGAGAGCCAAAGGACTCGGTAGAATTTGCTGCAGCAAAATAGCGGTGATGATTCAACTCCCCCCCTATGATGCTGCTTCTGCTTCTGTACTGCTTCTTCTTCTGCTGCTGTTTCTGCTGTTGCTGCTGTTGCTGCTGTTGCTGCTCCTGCTGCTGCTGCTCAAGACTTGATGACCAGAAGAGGCGCGACTGGCTGCGCATTGCGCCTAAGGCTGTTTCACTCTGCTCCAATGTCTGTGCTAACACAGACCCACTCCCTCCTCGCTGCTGCAGCAGCTGCTGTTGCTGCTGTTGCTGCTGCTGCTGCTGTGGCAGTTGTGGCAGCTGGCGGTCGTCGTGCTGCTGCAGCTTCTTCTTTAATTCATTTTGCTGCACTTGCTGCAGTAATATGTCATAAGAAGTGGGGCTGTCGCTCCTCGGAAGATCCGTGTGTCTGTGGCGCTCCCGCTGCTGCCGCTGCTGCTGTTGCTCCAGCTGCTGCTGCTGCTGCTCCAGCTGCTGCTGCTGCCGCTGCTGCTGCTGCTGCTGTGTTTCATCTAGGCTTTTTGACCACATAAGCCGAGATCTGCAGCGCAGCATTGCCAAACCCGTTGGGGTCTCCTCTAGTAGTCTCTCTAATTCCAATTGCTCCTTCTGTTGTTGCTGCTGCTGCTGTCGCCGCTGCTGCCGCTGCTGCTGCCGTTGCTGCTGCTGCAGGTCAATGGCTCCAGCAGATGCTGCAGCACTATGGCTCCCTCCCCAGCCGTTAACAACTCGTTCCTGAGTATTATGCATTTTAGTTATGCTGATGCTGCGGCTGTTAGTCCTGTTGCTCTCGCTGCTGCTTTTGCCCCGGGTGGTTGCTGCTGCTGCTGTTGCAGCAGCGGTACCTTGTTGGCAGCTGTTGTTACTGTTGGTGTTGCTGCAACAGCTGTGGCAGTGATGCTGCTGCTGCCGTGAGGTCTTCTGTCAGCAATCAATCCTCGTGTGCAGCTATCGATACGCTGCTGCTGCTGCTGCGGCTGCTGCTGCTGTTGCAGATGCTGTTACTGCCGTTGCTGCTAGTACTTCAGGCACCGCTGCTGTTTAAGAGGCAGGCTTTCTCTCTGTTGCTGCTGCTGTTGCTATTTTTACTTCTAGGATGCTTGCTGCTGCTGTCGCTGTGCTGCTGGCTCCTTAGAGACTCGCGGTTGAGTCGACTGCCTGCTGCTGCTGCTGCGATTGCCGCTGCTGCTGCTGCTGAAGATATTCTTACAACAAAAAGGTACTAATTGAGATGTACTTCAATATAATTGAATAAAACAATGAATTTTTGCTGCCTGTCTGTCTGTGCAGCAGCAGCAGCCCCTGCTGCTACAGTAGCAGCAGTAGCCGCTGCTGCTGAGCGGCTACTGCTGCAGCATCGATGGTAGCCTGAAGTTAGCAGCAGCAGGAGCAACAGCCGCAAGAGAGAAGCAGCAATTCCTTTTTCTTCTCTTGGTGCTGCTGGTGTGTCTTGCTTGCTCTTGCTGCTTCTACAGCAGCAGCAACAGAGTAACATCATCTCCAACAGCATAACTGCCTGCACAGCAGCGACAGCAGCAGCAGCACAAACCCCAGCAGCAGCTGTAGCAGCAGCAAAAGATATTGTGGCAGCAGCTGCTGCTCTCCAAAGATGGCGGAGCCAGACTATTCGGATCTTCTTGTACCCAGGTTAGCAGTGCTGCTGCTACTGCTGCTGCTGCAGTGTTGTTGCTGCTCCAGTGTTGTTGCTCCTGCAGTCTTTCTGCTGCGCTCTCGTTGCTGCAGTGTAGTTTGTGTTGCATTGTTGTTGCTGCAGCAGTGTTATTGCTGCAGCAGTGTTATTGCTGCAGCAGTGTTATTGCTGCTGCAGTACCGTTGCTGCTCCTTTGTTGTAGCTGCTTGTGTTGCTGATGCTGCTGTTTTAGTTCTGCTACTGCTGCTGTATTGCTGCTGTTGCTGCTGTAGCTGTTGCTGCTGCTAGAGGGGCTTCTGTGTGCATTCGACTCTGATCTGCTGCTGTTGCTGCTGTTGCTGCTGCTGTTGCTGCTGCAGATTTTATCCTGGTGCAGATGTTGCACAGCCCCTGTCAAAGAAACGGAAGGGAGAAGCAGAAGCAGCAGAAGCAGCAGCAGCAGCAGAAGAAGAAGAAGAAGTAGAGCAGCATGAAGATGCAACGACAGACGACGACGAAGAAGAAGAGCAGCAGCAGCAGCAACAGCAGCAACAGCAGCAGCGGCTAGCAGCACCTACAGCAATAGACCCATTAGAATGGGCACGAAGCCTTTTTGGTGATTCTGCTGCAGCAGCAACAGCACCAGGAGGAGGAGCAGCAGGAGCAGCAGCAGCAGGTGCAGACAAACCAGGTAGAGTAGGCCCATCCAAAGACAGCAGCACCACCACCAGCAGCAGCAGCAGCAGCGCAGCAGCGCAGCGGCTGTCGCTCCCTGCCTGTGCTACTGAGTTGTCTTTTATCATTCCTGCCTTTGTTAATCAAAGAAGCAACAAGGAGGTAAGAGGACTGTCTAGTTGCTGCTGCTGTTGCTGCTGCTGGTGTTGCTGCTGTTGCTGCTGCAGTTGTTGCTGTTGTTGCAGTTGCTGCTTGCACTCCCAACTAACTTGCTGTTGTTGTTGCTGCTGCTGTTGCTGCTGCTGCAGGCTGCCTCTCTGCTGCGGCTGCAGCGTAGCCAACTAAGGGAAGACTATATGGGGAAGCACAGAGCAGCACTTCGATCCAAGAGCAGAGCAGCAAGCCATGCCTAGCTGCTGCTACAGCAACAGCAGCAGTAGTAGCTGCTGCTCCTCGTTTGCTGCTGCTGCTGCTGCTCTAGCAGCAACAGCAGCAGCAACAACAACAGCAGCAGAATAAACGGTTTGCTGTACGCTGTGCATGCGAGGCTGCACATGCTGCTGCTGCAGTTGTTCAGTATAGTTGCATTGAATCACGCAGCAGCAGCAGCTGCTACAGAAACTGCAGCAGCAAAAGCTGCTGGTGCTGCAGCAGCAGCAGCAGCAGCAGCTTTAACGATTTGTTTTGTATTGTTATAATGACTCGTCGCAGATGCGTCTCATTGAATAAACATTTTCAGGTGTATAGGCAGCTTAAATATATACCCATTAGGGTTTAGGGTTTAGGGTTTAGGGTTTAGGGTATATTTAGGGTTTATTTAGTGTTTATGGTCTATCTAGGGTTTAGGGTTTATCTACGGTTTTGAGTATAGATACTAGGGTTTATAAATTAGGGTTTATAGATTAGGGTTTATATAGTAGGGTTTATATAGTAGGGTATATATAGTAGGGTTTATATAGTAGGGTTTATATAGTAGGGTTTATTGTGTAGGGTTTAAATGAGGGTTTATATAGTAGGGTTTATAGTAATGGTTTACAGTGTAGGGTTTAGGGTTTAGGGTTTAGGGTTTAGTGTTAAAGGGTTTAGGGTTTAGGGTTTAGGGTTTATGTCTACATATAAGGAGATACACATCTTGTCTTTGACATCGTTACTAACGAATTACTATTAATTAGTTAAGATGTAAATAGAGCCAAACAAGCAGCAACAGCAGCAGCAGCAACAACAACAACAGCAGCAGCAACAGCAACAGCAGCAGGTGGGGTTTGTGTGTGTGTTTATACGGGGATGGTTGGGGGGCTGCCTTTGCCGTCTATTTTGCTTTTCTTTTCTTTTGTCTTTTTAAATAAAAAAATTAATTTAATTATTTTATTTATTCTTTATTTATACAGCTTGCTGCTACCTCCTATTGCTGCAGTAGCAGCAGCATTAGCAGCAGCAGCAGCTGCGCCCACCCTCCATAGTAGCAGCAGCAGCAGCAGCAGCAACTTCGGGGGAAACAGGCCTGTCTGCTCCAGGTGTACGCACACCTTAATAATATTAATTAGTAAATAAAATGGCTAACGCATCTGCTGCTGCTAACCCGCAAAGCAACACCCATCTCTCCGCTGCTGCTGCTGCTGCTGCTGTTGCTGCTGGGCCCGACGCAACAACAGCACAACAGCCGAAGAACACTGCGGCAGTAGCAGCAACGGCAGCAGACACAGCAACGAAGGACACACTAGCAGCAGCAGCAGCAGCAGACACACAGGCAACAGTAGCAGACACGGCGACTACAGACCCACCAGCAACAGCTGCAGCAGATACACCACCATCTGCTGCGGTTGCTGCTGCAGCAGCAGCAGCAGATGAAGGAGAAGCGGCTAAAGCTGCAGCTGAGTCTGCAAGGTCAACAGACACACCGGATGGTGTAGAGGGCAAACAGCAGCAGCAGAAACGCGCCAGTAGATGCGGTGACGACACTACCTCAAAGAGCAGCAGCAGCAGCAGCGGCGGCCACAGCAGCAGCAGCAGCAGCTGCAGCAGCAGTGGCAGCAATGCAGTATCGGAAAATGTAACATCAGCAGCACATCCATCGGAGAGCTCCAAAGCTGCTCAAGTTGCTGCAAGTGATACTAGAAGCAGCAAGAGCAGCAGCGGCAGCAGCAGCGGCAGCAGCGACAGCAACAGCAGCAGCAGCAGCAGCAGCAGCAGCGTAGGGGCAGAGGCGAAGCAGCGGGCTCGATTAAAGAGGCAGTTTGTACGAACGCCTTGGCTAGATATAAACAAAGCCCCCTCATGGCCACCAATTAAAAAAAATAAGGTAAGTTGTTGCTGCTGCTACTGCTGCCTCTATTGCTGTTGCTGCTGCTGCTATTGCTGTTTCTGCTGCTGCTGCTGCTGCTTCTGCAGCAGCTGCTGCTGCAGCTGTTGTTGCTGGTGGTGGTGGTAAATAAATATGCTGCAGTTGCTGCTGCAGGGTTTTGTTGTTGCCTGCATGCTTGAATAGAAACACTGCTAGCAAGAAAAAAGAGGGAGAAAAAAGTAATAAATGATATTTTTCCTTCCTTTTTCTTTTTTTTTTTTCTTTTCCCTTTTTTCTTCCTTTTTCTTTCTTTCCTTCATTTTCCCTTTTCCCTCCTTTTTCCTTCTTTTTTCTTCTTCTCTCCTCCTGCAGGTTTAGGCTTATTTTGTGCAAAGACAGAGGGATTTATAAAAGGGACAATCATAACAGAATTTGTTGGTTGGTTAGTTGATAGAGAACAAGCAGAACAACTCAGACGCAAACGAAGGGCTTCCCATATTGTTGCTGTTCAGGTCCGTACCTGCTGCTGCTGCAGCTGTTGCTGCTGCTGCTGCTGCTGTTGCTGTTGCTACTGTTGCTGTTGCTGTTGCTGCTGTTTTTGTTGCTATAACTGCTGTTGCTGTTGTTATTATAACGATAATAATATAATAGTATAAATTATAACAATAAAGAGAATAATTAATTAAATTATTTATTTATATATATTTATGTGTGCATTTTATTAATTAATTAATTAATTATTTAATTAATTAATTAATTAAAGAAGGGATTTTTATACATAGACGGAGTTAAGGAGCCCTTCTATGGTACGGGAGGTGCGAGCTTTGCTAATGATGGATCGGAGTTCCTTGGAGGACCAGGAAATAATGCTGTCTTCCATCATTGGTAAATTAATTTAATTAATTAATTAATTAAATTAATTAGTTAATTAAATTAATTAATTAATTAATTATAAATATAAATAAATATAAATAAATATAAATACATAAAAATAAATAAATAATATTTTTATTTATTTATTTATATTTTTATATGGTAATAATGCCTTCTTCTATCACTAGGAATTTAATGATTAATTATTAAATGTAAATGCTGCTGCTGCTGCTGCTGCTGCTGTTACTGTTGCTGCTGCTGCTGCTGCCTTTTAGGTTTGATGAAGAATTGGGTCGTACTCGTGTCTTCTTGCGGGCAACTCGCAACATAGCCGATGGGGAAGAAATTTTTGTCCCTTATGATAAAACTTACTGGCAAGATAACTTCGAAGAACAGGTATACACACATGCAACTCCTGCTGCTGCTGCTGCTGCTGCTGCTGCTCCTGCTGCTGCTGCTGCTGCTGCTGCTGATAATAGTAATAATAATTGTGCAATAGCTATAGGAGCAACGCTAGCTATAGCGGCAGCAGCAGCAGCAGCAGGCTAGTCAGTGGAGTTAGAGGGGAAGATGCGAACGGTGGAAGTGCCATAGACAAACACAATAAAAGAAAGAAATGAGCAAAGAGCGAGAAAGAAAGAAGACACTAGGAAATTTTCTTCTTCTTCTTCTTCTTGCTGCTGCTGCTGCTGCTGCTGCTGTGATGGGTATTATAAATGTATCGCTGCAGCTCTCCTCTCTTATCCTTTTATATTCGTGTGTTGTTATGAATTAAATCCTTAGGAAGAGAATTGCCCTGATGCATTTAGAAAGAAAAAGATCGAACAACTCCAACGTAAATATAAAGACTTCACTATTACATCCATGGAGGACCTCAAAGCCAGACAGGTACACAGCAACAAACTGATGCTGCTGGTGCTGCTGTTGCTGCTGCTGCTGCAGTTACTGATGGTGCAGCAGATGCTGCTGCTGGTGTTGCTTCCTTCTCTACTTTTCAGGCACCGCGTGGCTGTTGTGGACGGTTGCTGCAGCAGCAATGTTGATGCGATGTGTTTGCATGACTGTGGGTCTTCCTGTTTTTGGGGGTACAATATATATATATATATATTATATATATAT